TCGCTTTCAGCTCTGATCCTGAACCTTGCTTTACTCCTTTTTTTTTGCATAGGATTAAGTTCCCTCAGGCCTTCTAGCTTCCTACTCTTTAAATGGTAGGTGCTATAGTCTGAATGTTCGTGTCCCCCCCATATTCATGACTTGAAATCCTAATGTGTGATGTGATGGTAATAGGAGGTTGGGCCTTTGGCTGGTGTTTAGGTCATGACAGCCCAGCCCTCATGAATGGAATTACTGCCCTAAGAAAAAAGGCTCCAGAGAGATCCCTGCTCCTTCCAGCTTGTGAGGGAGCAGGGAAGAGTCTGCAAGCCAGAACTGGGCCCTCACACGAACACGCTGGAGCCGTGATCTTGGACTTCCAGACTCCACTAGTGTGATCAGTAAGTTTCTGTTTTTTTAAGCTACCCAGTCTGTGGTGTTTGTTATAGCAGCCCGAACCGGACTAAGAAATAGGGATGAGACCATCTTTGGCAAATCAGCTCTTTAGTAACTGGACTTTGTCTTATTCACTGTGTTATCCTCAGCACCAGGCCCAGTGTAATCACTCAAGAAATAATTTTTACTAGAGCAGTTTCTTAGATTTCCTCTTCCTACTGGAAGGTGTTCATGAATGTCCAAGCTATTTTGCCTAATCACGGCCACAGTGACTAGGATTATAGTAGACATGGCTAATATTTCCACTCTACTCTTACTGGTGTCAATAATGCCTACCGAGTTCATTGCTAAAACCACTAGGATTCTATATCCTTTAAGGTGCGTGTGGCCCTGGGAATTCAATCTGCAAGAGCAGCACGATTTTCAGCCTCTGCCTAGCGCTATATTAAACTCACAAGTATGACCTCATCTCTAATTTGCCCTCTGCTTTGTCATAATAGAAAACAACTAGCCTGGTGTCATACATAGAGCCACACATCTAAACTCACACACTCCCTGATTCACATAGCTCACAGCAACCAGACAATTTACCACATTACTTTTGAGGTGGGCAGTCATCTATGTCCCCCAAATTATCAGTCCTGCAGCTATCCTGCCCTTGTCCAGTATGGACAAAATCCCCAGAATGCATGTGAACTGTAAATAGTTGTGACATAATTTTCCATCCCTCGGAAACCTAGACATCAAATGATCTGATAATCTTTAGATGACACTGGTAAAAAGTCAGCCTGTCTATATGAGGATAGAGATTATCAAATGGATCGATTTTTTTACATAGCCAAGTAAATTTTATTATTCATTATTTTTCATGATTCAATTAAACTGTTTATATCACTCAACAAGTAAATGATCTAAATTATAAAATGAGCATAGGGATTTGCATAGTAGACAAGTTTTCTTCTCCCTCTGGTGTCTGTGCCCCGGAAGGAGACAGAAATGCCACCTCCCCCAAGACACCCATACATCTTGGTTGTCCCATGAAGAGTACTATAAAGGGACTGCTACTTAACAGTGTCACAGAAGTGCCTGGGACTTCTCACTCTTAGGCTTGGGGGGCACATAAACATTTTAAAATCCTGTGGGGTCTGGGGGTAAGAGGGGGAGGCAGAGCATCCTGCAGATAATAGGGATGAGCTTAGGCAAACACAAGAGCTGAAATATTCCTCTGGTTACCCTGGCAGCCGGTCAAATTCTAACTTTAGGGCCAGAGAGTGTGGGGCACAGAGTAGAAGCAGCAGGTGCCTGTCGTTCTAGTTCCAGAGCCTCCTGCCTGTCTCTTCCATTTTATTGTGGCTCAGGCCGCATTTATTCTCCTATAAGGTTCAGGTCCCCTCATCATCTCTTACCTTGTATTTTGCACGTGGCTTCCTTGGATTTTAAATGCCTTGAAGGCAGGGGCCAGAAACTATACTAGTTTGCAGGCACATTTTACAAAGAACATCTGATAGATACTCTGCAATTTTTAACATGGGTGGTTATATGTCAAGTTGAAATTAAAACGGGCCATGTTGACTGTTGTTTCATAATTTATTTTCCAAGGTAAAGGTTTAAATAAATAAATAAATAACTTAATTCATAAGTTAGTAAAAAATTCTCGAGTCTTTAACTGTCCTTTCAAACGCAGTGCATTA